AATGCTGAGRTCATATTATGATTTGCTTTGAATGTTGGTTTACATGAAAATCTGCCCCGAAGTTATATCCTAAGAGGTGGAAAAACACTATTTCATGTTTCTGTTTGACGTCCCAGTTTCAAAGGGGCTCTGTGCAGCTGCTTGAGGTTGACGTGGTCACATTGACCTCTGGTGGCTGCAGCCTTGGCGTGCAAGGAGGTGCTAAGGGTTTGGTGAGCTGCTGCTTGCTGCGGTTGAAATGCCATTGGGTTTGTACCCTCTATAGGCTCCATTCCCCATCACCTTTCCTTTTGGAAAGCCATTCGTTTTCTTCTCAAAGCAGGTACCTACTGTTTGTGGGTACACCCTCAGTCCATGTGCCTCTCCTCCCTGAGAAACAAATTCTGCTCTTACAGACCAAGAAGAACAAAGGCAGATCATTTGTTGGAGAGCTGAATTCACTACCAATTTCTAATCAGAGAGGGTCATATCTGGGGAGAGCAGACACTGCTCCCCTGTATTCACTGTAACCTCTGTGCTGTCAGTGTTCAGACCCTTCTTGTGCAGTCGAGGGCAGACTTTAATGGTCCTTTTGCACAGGGTGATGCAGAAGCAGCCAACCAGACTGGATTCACAATGAGCAGTGAGATGGACCCTTGACTGGCTTATATTCTGGGGAGASAGGGGAAGAAAGCTGGGACTAATCCCACAGGGATATGTTTAAGAATAAGGCAACTGCTGAGTTGGAGCCCCTGTGCCAGGGACAGCTGGGCGAGAAAGCTCATCCCAGTGACTCTAATCCTGTCATTCTGCTCTAATTCAGGTCTTCCTTTTTACCCTGCATGCCTCTGATGCCCTAATGAGGACAGAGATGTGTTGCCAATACCTTAGGAAAAGGCTCCCACATGCTTTTGCCTCCTCTAGCTCCAGGCAATGGGTGTGTGGTGTGGTGAGGGGGAGGAATGCCGAAGGAAATATTTGCTTGTTTTGCTATTTCCACACAGATACAGGCATTTCCTTCCGGCTATAAATGCCACTCCTCCTCCCTTCTGCAGCCACCACTGTGAAGAGAATAACCACTGCACAGTGTGCTGCAGCAGTCTTACATTTGCTATTGAAAGCGTTTGGAAGAAGAGCAGGTAGTCAAAGTCCTTGCAAACGCTGTTAATATAAACACCGAGTTTGATGAATGTCATTAGGAAAAGTTTTTTTGTTTTTTTTTTTTTTTTTTTTTTTCTGTGTGTGTTAACTAATCCAGCATGAAGCAGCGTATGAACCGATTAGAACAGGTTGGAGTTGGTAATTCTGTTTCACAAGTTCTTTTGTGTTTTTGGCATTTGTTTTGTTCCACGCAGGAACAGAAACTGTGGAGAGTTTTTTCACAACACCAAATCATGTTGGGACAGCTATTGCAAGGTGGAAGTTGTTATAATAGGGCGTTATTTCAAACTCGTTTCCCCAACCTGATTTGGGAGATCACCCTGGACACCTTAGCAAACCTCCTGCCTAAAACTTCAGTGGAAGTCCTAAATGTCTGCAAATCACCAGGCTGCAAGAAGAACAGCATATTTGGTTGGGGGGGGGGGGGGGGGGGGGGGCAGGGAGGAGAAGGATCAAGCAAGAAATATTTTGTTGAAGATGTTCTGACTGGCTCTCGTGCTGGACACCGTGTGGGTAGGCAGTTTCAGGGCAGCTTTGTAAATTCACTGTGCTTCCCAAAAGAGAGGGCAAGACTTTACAGAGCACCCAGCTCACCATCTGTAACCGCAGCTTGAGCTTTGTTCCGATAGCATTTTAGCCACACAAGCAGGAATTTATTGAATTCCTGCCCCGCCTCAGACCTTCCTAAAGCTGTTTCCAGGAGGGGGCAAACAATGCAGTGGGCGGCATACCCAGCCTAGCTCTCCGTAGCACGGCTCACTTGTCTTGGAGGGATCCCGCAGACCTCTYAGTGCCATCGGTCCCTCCACACCGCAAGGTTCTGCAGAAAGCCCAGCAGCCTGTCACCCTCTGTGACCCCTGTGTGTAAGCCCCGCCTCTGGCGGTAGAAAGGACGCGTGGCTCACCATTTGCTAGCTTGCTACMGAATTCCTGTGTGAGCCCGTGCGGCTTGGAAAGTAGTTAGGATTTGAAAAAAAAAACCAAAACAACAAACCAAACCAACAATMCAATAACTAAAAATCCCACCCAAACATCCCAGTGTCATTCCTAATGTAAATTCAAGTGTGCCARCACAAAAGTAACTACTACTGGTAAAGCTATTTTGGAAATGTAGTACCTGCTGTGAGCATGTACAGTCTGGTGGAACTGCATATCTCCAGCAAACTGGGGTTATCTTATACAACTGCAGCTTCTCTCCAAAGCATGAGCATTGTATCCCTGTGCCTCCACAGCCTGGCCAAAAAGCAGCTATGGAATGTGTTTTTCCTCTCAGGAACTGACTGCCTTGATCCATCGGGATCAGTTACCCAGCCCAGTTACCAGAGCCAGGGGGGATCTTCTTGCTCCTGGAGTACCTGCTGAGCTCAGAGACTCTCCATGAAGGAGAACAGGTAATACAGCTTATAAAAAAGTTAAGGAAATTAGGCACTTAGTCAGTTGCCCTTATACGGTACCAGTCAATTATTGAATTATTTATTTTTCCCTCGACTTGTACGTCTGAGACTCTTCCGTGGGCAACCTAGGGTGAAGATATTTCTTTAGCTGTTCTTGATGTGGGACCAGCTTTGTCTGATGTCTGACTGCTCTGAGTCACAAAGCAGTGCAGCCACTGCCCGTGGGGTCACGGTGGGTGGAGGGAGAGGATTTCTTTCTTTGTCATCAGCTCAAGCTTGTCTCTCTCTCTCTGTGAATGAGAGAAACCAACTCTTCTTTTGGGACTTTTGTCAGGCTTGCGAAGATCTTATCTTCTATCACGGCATAATATCCGGCTCAGGAAATCTTTTCACTAGAGAGGGAGAGAGAGAGACCTGGGTTGTTTTTGGGAGAATAACTAGCAGGCAAAAATTGACATTGCCTGAGTCAGAAGGGGTTCCCAGCAGGCAGCCTTGCTCGTACTTGCTTTTGATCACTGAGCGGGATGCCTCTGGCTGCAGGTAAGCACTGCAGACAGGAGCTGTGCCGTGCTCTGGTGGTCCTGGGTCAGCATGYGCCCTTTGTGTGGGAGCTCTGCAGTGCTGGCTCACAAGGGAGGGGAGGGGGCTGTTGGGACCCCTCGCAGGGAGGGTGAGTCCCCAACAAATTCACGTGTTTGGGGTGTCAACTGATACCTGTTGGGATGGATGCCATCCAAGGGCAGTTTGCTGAAAGCTCCATGTGTGTGCGTGTGCCTGGAGTTTGCTCAATATCTGTGTATGTTTTGCAACAAAAAGGTTGTGTGCTCTGTGCACCACACAGATACACTCTCTATTGCTGGGTGATGGCTGTGCTGAACTTAGCAGCATGGTGAAAGGGTCGTGAAGGGTCCCTTCCCTCAAATCACCTTACTGAATCTGATGCAGGAGCCCTGTGGGGACCAAAGGGGATGTGTCTGTCACTGGCCCTRGAAGAGAAACAAACTATATTCAGCTTGGGTAGAGCAGAAATCTTTTAGTGAAGTGGCCCTGTTCAGACCTCCACTTCTYCACTTATGGAATGAGAAGAGAAAGATTTCCATGCAGAGGCAGGGTCTAGAAGCTGCAGTGGTGGAGTGCTGAGGGCACCTCCCTCTTGGGGGTGTGCTGGCAGGAGCAGGAACAATGTAGGGCTCCTTCATATTCCAGAGCCCTGGAGGGATGCACAGCAGCCTTCTGGGCTACACTGTGGGCTGACCAGAAGGCTGGGGAGAATCAGGAAACTCCCATTTCTTATGAGTTTGATATTGCAGTGGGATTTCTTTACACAACCTGCACAGCATAGCCTGGCTATTGAAGTCTGACATAGTTGAGAGGGATGAAATGATAGTGAAATAGGGTTGCTAGAGAAAATGAAAAACATCTTAGYCTTGAAGGGTCCTTGATGCTGGGATTGAACCATGGTGTCCAATTCAATCTCTCCCTCTTTGAGAGAGAGAGCCCTCTTTGTCCAGTGGTATGTACAGCTTTGGGCAAGTGAGTACACAGGAGGTGTGGAGGGTACTCTGTGTGAACACTTTTGGATGCTATGTGGACACACAGGTCTGTTCCTGGGAGTTCCATGGCTGCTTGGACCAGAGGAAAGCTTCCCGGGATCCACTCCTGGCCTGGGGAACTCAGTGCTGGGTCAGGCCCAGGTTGCAAGCCCTTGCATGCCCTGGGGTAAATCTCTATCACGCTGCCCCAGGGTGTCTCCACACCCAGTTCCACCCACAGACACAGCTGAGGACTGACTGGGGCCAAAATCTGTGGGATCTTTTCTTGGTCTGGATCAGGCATCTTTCCAGCACTCATTTTTTCCCCCTTGCTTGGATCCCCCCTCCATCCAGAGSCAGTCCTACACCTCGGGTGGCCTGGCTGCAATTTCTGCAGCCTTGGAGCCAAAGAAAGCTTCTCCTTATGAATATCTTGTTTGCTGGCAGAGCTCGGGGAAGGGCACTGTGCCTTGCCTGAGGAGACCCCCTTTCTGCCCCGGCAGGGTCTTGGACAAGGCGGGCACCCCCGTTCCTCCGCTGGTCTGTCGGGGGCTGATGTCGGGGGCTGAGGCTGGGTGCGTTTTGTAGGAGAAGTGGCTGGCGAGCCACGTCCTTCCGGGGAGAAAATCCATCCCGGGGCTGGGGACCGAAGCGAGTTAGAAGGACAGGACACACGCAGAGAAAAACTCCTCCCCGGCTGGCCCAGGTGAGGAGCAGCCGGAGGCCCTGAGAAACCGGGAGTGGCCGAGTGGGATCCGCCCCCGCTCCCCGGTGAGTGCCCCGCGACCCCCGCAGGTGGGCAGAGCTCGGCTCGACGTAGCCCGAGGGGTTGCCGGCTTCCTTCCAGCCGGCTGGACGAGGGAGAGAGGGAGGGAGGCAGGGAAAGAGGGTGGGAAAGTGCGGCAGGGTGGGGAGAGCTCTTCAGACACACCTGCCGGAGCGGCGAGGCGGCGGCCCGGAGCGGAGCGGGGAGCAGCCGCCCGGAGTGGGGATGGCAGGTAAGGGGCGATTCCCGTCCGGGAACGGGGTCCCGGGGCCGGCGGGGCCCCGCTGGGCTGTTCCTGCCGCGGAGGCAGCGGCTGCCCGTCGGCATCGCCCCGGGCCCAGAGTTTGGCGCTSGCTCGGCAGTGGTGGTGGTGGTGGGAGGGAAGGGAAGATGTCTGCGCTTCTTGCCGTCTTTCCCACCCACCTCCTCGGGAACGGCCTCCGGCTCGGCATTTATCCAAGAGTGCCTTCAGACCGGCGAAAGGGAAGCGCTCCCTCCGCGGGAAGTGGGGGTACACCAGGCGGGAGCGGGGCTACCGGCTCTGGAATCTTCCGCCCACCTCCCCCTCTCTCTCCCTCCCTCTCCCTTTCCCTCTCTGCCGAGCCTGCCTGCCGAGAAGCTGGTCGCTGCTTGCACAAGCGGCTTGAGTTTCTTGGAGAAATAGTTGGACTTAAAGGGGTAAATCTGCTGTGGAGTTTGAAACAGAACAACTTCTGTGACATGCTGCTGCGTCCTCCTCCAGCATGCTTGTGTCTTTGTGGCAAGAGTCTCAAATAAGAGTTCAATTTATATGAGAAAGAGTTTGTTTTTATTCAACCTAGAACAATCCATATCTGTATCTGTATTTAGGCTCCTAAACTCTTTGGTGGAGGAAATGAGACACTTGGAAATCTTTCGTGATGTCAACAATTCTCTGTCCCTGCTATCTTTCATCCATCAGACCCCAAGCCTCCTGTGTTTGTATTTGAATGATTAACAGTTCTCTCAGCCATCTTCCTTGTGCAGGTTGTCGGTCTGAAATAGCTTGATTTGTACTTGAAATAGCTCGATTTGTACTTGAAATAGCTCGATAATTTGTAATGCAAGAAAGGTAGAAACCCTGACAGAACCCCATCCCCAAATTTCCAAAGAAAAGGAAAAAAGACCAGGGCATTTCCTTCCCCCATGAAATGTGAACCTCTGCCCTGCCCCTGGGGTTGTTTGTATGCCTGGGGTACCAAAGCTGGAAGCCAGCACCAGCAGCACTTTGGAGGAGAGATGTCTTCTAAGTGTCAGGAGATCTTTGCTGTGCTTTGCCTTGACAGCTAAAAGGATTTGTGCTGGCCTGTGAAACAGAATTCATTTCTCATGTGAAAATAGCTAACACGGTTTGAGTTGATCCACAGCTGAGGAGAGAGCACATTGCCCGTATCTGCTCCATCACAGCTTCTAGGACTGAATGGAGGAGGTTCRCTGTGGCTTGAAGAGGTTTTGGCCTGTTCACTTGAAGGGCTCTCTCTTACTTTATTTGGTTGGCAGGGTGCTTGCCTTGTTGCTGCATATTTTCAGCTGTGTGGAAGATACATGTAAGATATGCTCATGTGATCCCCTGCTGATTCCACTGCCTGTGGCCAAGCTTCTCTGTGGGATGACCCTTGAGAACTTGTTGGTCACCARTTCTTAGTGCACAGTGCCAGGGATTCATTTGCTGGATCCTCTCCAGTCCAAGTGTGAGAAAGCACGTACCAGGCTGTGAAAACTCTTGGTCCTGAGAGTTTGCTGTTCTCAGGGCGTGGCAAAAGAGAAGGTGTGTGATGGTTTGGGGGAATTTAAGAATGTTTGAGAGATGAAGGTGATACCTTCCCTAAACTTCCTACTGTATATGCTTATAATTCCCTTATGCACAATTTGCCTTCTGCATATCTAAGGCTGTAGGTAGACACTCCAGATCCTGGTGAGCCCCTTTATATGTAAAATATTTTCTAATGTGTCTAAGTCCCATTTACAAGACTAATGGATCATTTGCACGATCATACCTCTATTGCTATTATCCCATGCCTGCTGTTGGGGGTTAAGGTTTCTCCTTTTGTTTCTTTTCTTGGGGAATTTCTCTTTCCCATTTTGTTGCTGGGATACACTGATTGCTAGGTCATCCTTTTGATGGCTGGGTGATTGGTGAAGACAACAGAACCTAGCCCCACCTGAAGGATCTCCCTGGGCATTCCTCCTGCCTGTCAATTTTATTTTATCCCTCTCTTTGGAGAGAGGGAAGTTCTCGCGGGAGTATTGGGCTCGGGGAGGGTGTGTGTGTGTGGGGGGGGCAGGGGGTAGTTTCACTTCCTGCCCTGCTTGGCTCGGGGGAGGATGGTCGACCTGCTGCCAGCGGGGGAGAGCTCGCCTGCTGCTTTCTGCAGAGCCCAGCATCTCCGCTCATTGGTTCCTGTTTGCTGCACTGTGATCTTCTGCCCCTGTGCCTTGCCGGGGACCCCTGAGATTCCAGCTGCAGTGGTTGCGTTCTGCTGCATCCCGTCTGCAGCTGTGGGATTCTGCTCTTCTCTTTGCTCATCTGCCCGTTCTGGGGTTTCTTGCTGTCCAGAGGAGCACTGAGATCGGCGTTTTCCGGTGTGAGTTTGCAGAGGAACTTTTCTCCATCCACCTCTGCCGGTTTGTGTCCACCATTGGCCATGCAGGAGTTCTGAACCAGCCAGGACCTGTGCTACAATGTCCCTTGCAGCCACCGGGGAATCATCACACTCGCCCTGCCTGGCCGGGAGCCAACAGCGCCCCTGCCGACTGGGACCGTAACTGCACCAAAGGGGAGGGTGTATCTCTGTATGAGGCTGTCATTGGGTTTGTGACTGGGTTGGCTGTTGCTATCGTTGCTGTTACTTGTTTCACCTTGTTGTACATATTAGTAAAAATTGTTATTCCCTTTTACCAGTATTCTTGCCTGAAAGCCCGTGATTTTCAAAGCTGTAATAATTCGGAGGGAAGGGGGGTCATATCCACCACTCCAAGGAGGGTCCCTGCCTTCATTGGCAAGCACCTGTCTTTCAAGCCAAGACACCTGCTCACACCTTTTACCTGTGGACCTCCATCGCTCGTTGTTTTATCYTTCCCTTTTATCCTTCCAGCTGTGGAGAATATGCCTCTCCAAGCCAGCAGCCTTCCAGAGCAGGAGGAGGAGGAAGACACCATCTGGGAGAAGATCGAGAGTGCCCGACACCAGCTGACCCGCTCCCTGAACCCAGCCAAGCTCACCCCATACCTGCGCCAGTGCCGTGTCATCGATGAGCAGGATGAGGAGGAGGTRCTGAACTCCTGCAGATTCCCTTGCAAGAGCAACCAGACAGGTGGGAGAAGACACAAACTTGCACTTGGACGGGCCTGGTTTGTGGGGGATAACCCAGTTTTGACACAGTGGATGCTGCACTGCACTGCTCCCTCAGGTTCATTGTTCTCTGAGGTGCTCTGCACCCAGACTGTCTCTCTGATCCTCCCCTGGGCTGCCCCCTACATGCACACAGAGGAGGGCAGTGCTCTCATCCCGTTCTCTCCTTTAGCCATTCCCACTTTYGTGGATAGAAGTAGAACTGGTGGAGATGCTTCCTTCATATCATGAAGTTGGTTTTCTCTGTTTTACAGGGAATTCATCCTAGCTCTTTATTTGTTCTTCCAGGTTACCTGATGGATATMCTTCGGCGCCGTGGGAAGCGAGGCTACGAAGCCTTCCTGGAATCCTTGGAGTTTTACTACCCAGAGCACTACACACGGCTCACGGGGAGGGAGCCAGCCCAGCGCTGCTCTATGATCCTGGGTAGGGGCAGGAGCTCTGTTCTCCCTTCAGCTGCTGTTGGCATGGGAAGGGCCAGAAATTTGTGCAAGTTCACATGCCTACATAAAAACTGGGTTCATGCTGCCAGTGTGGGAGGAATCCTGACAGCTTGGTGCTCTGGAACTGACAGCAGGGAGGGGGTCACATACACAAGTGTGACAGACTGTGGTGGTACAAGCCTGGGACAACACAGGCTGCAAACCGGCAGGAGGAYTTGTCACCTTTTGGAAAACAGAGCGTTGGGCAAATCTATTTCTTGGGGTCACCCCTGTCTCAGCAGCCAGGCACAGGTTCTCCTTTGTCTCTCCCCAGATGAGGAAGGCCCTGAGGGACTAACTCAGTTCCTGATGATGGAGGTGAAGAAGGTGAGGGCTCAACGGAAAGAGCACCTGCAGAAGGAGCACCAGCTCCTGGTGAAAAACCAGATGTTGGAGCAAGAGCAGGCCCGGCTGGAGCAGCAGCTGAAGGAGCTCCTGAAGGTGCAGGAGCGTTGCCAGCGGCTGAGAGAGGAGTGGGACTCCAACAGCGTGGAGCTGCTGAGGCTGAAGGACGAGAACTACTTGATGGCCATGCGCTATGCGCAACTCTGCGAGGAGAAGAATGTGGCTGTGCTGCGGAGCAGGGACCTGCAGYTGCTGGTAGGATCCTGGGGAGCACCAGGATGGGCAGCGGGAGGTGGTGGGGGTCTGTTGGCCAAGAAGGAGGCACACAGATGTCCAAAATGGTGCCTTGTGAGCGTGAAGGAGCTGATGGCACATGGGATGTGTGTTGGGGCCGCTGTCCTGTTCTTGATGGGAATGTGTCCTGCAGAGACATGGGCACAGTGCAGGASGCTCTTCACTGCCCAGAGACAGCTGGGGATACATTACCAGCTCCTGCCACAGTGGATTTTCAAAGTGTGGATTTCTAGTGGATTTTCAAAGTGGATTTTCTAGTGCATCACCTAGAGGAGCCAGAAGTTGGGCTGAAGCCCTCCCTGGCATTTTTCAGCACTCAGCCTTGCCTCTGGCACCACAAGATGCCCTGTGTGCTCCTGCATGTGCTTGCTGCTCTGTGCTGCCCGCTCTGCTCCATGGGCAGCACAGCAGGTGGCAGGCAGCTGGCTCTGTCAAGCTACATGTTCGTATTTACTTTTTCCCCTTAAAGGGTTTGCTTTTTCCCCTCCCTAGTGAGGCCGGTGTCTGTGCAGCTGCCCACGCTGGGTGCTGCCTGGAGCTGCCCAGCCCACYTTGCTGCTTTGAGGAGCCTTTTGGCCCTGACTCGGTCCCCCTGCCACTCCCCACCGCCTCCTCATGTCTCTCATGAYGTGTGTAAGACTCATGCCCTCCATAGCGGAAGGAGTTCGTGACACTGTACTCCAGCTGCCAAGCTCTCACCTCCAGCAGACACACGCCCATTTCCTGCCTGGGCAAGGACAGCCCTACCATATTTTTAAGTGCTCTGCTGCCTCCTGGCATTCCCCCTACCAGTCTGGATGTTAACCACTCACACAGCATTGTGAGCCTTTCATACCTCATTCTTTTCTGGGATCCTCCCCCACCATTTTTCTGGCCTGCCCCTGGGCCTCTGGGAAGAGCAGGGAGGTGAATCACTTATAGGTAACTGTAGGCTGAAGAAACTCCCCTGGAAGTGGGTCTCAGCTTGCCTTCTTTCCCTCCTTACTCTGAAGTCCAGTAGTGTCTGGTCCTCAAAAGTCATTCTAGGTCTTTTGGACAGATTTACAGAAGTAATTCAGTTCCTGAATCCCTCCTTGGCAATTTTGGCAGTGCTTCTTGGYGGCTTTGATAGGCTTCCGCAGCCCCATTTCCTCTCAAAGCCTTACTTAACTGTGAAACTGGTTCTTCGCTCAATCTAATCAGTTATTACAGGTCTATGAGGACCTCTCTCAGAAGTTCCTGACCTGGTGGAGGGGTGTGAGACCAGGCCAGGGAATGATGATGCCCCTGTGATATGCTGCAGCCCCCAGGAGCTTGAACCTCAAATACCTCCCAGGCCAGTGGTGGCCTCCCCACACTCAGTAGCTCCCAGTGGATATTTCTGCTGTGAATTTGTTTCTCTGCTGCTCTAGGAGTCCTTGAGATCCTCATAGCTGCTGGCCCTAGCAGCTTACCAGAGGTCCCACATCCACYCACCGTCAAGGCGGATGCCCTGGGGCATCCACAGTGCAGCAAGAAAGTTGTTGCACCAAGAGACGATCCTGAATGTGCTTATGCAAGTGCCTTTCCCTCCTTTCCCTGAGGGAGCAGCTTTTGTGTGCAGCTGTGCTGCTAACCTTGGCCCAGCAGTGGGATGCTCCTTCACATGGTTGCCTGTGGTTGCCTCCTGTGCCTTACTCACCTCCAGACTTGTTTTCTGCCCCGCTTTACTGATAAGGCAGAGGTGCAGGGCTGTGTGTGTCAGACTGTTCCCTCTCTGGGTCTCAGGTGGACCAGCTGAAATGCAAAGTCTCCAGCCTGGAGGAGGAGTGCAGCCTGCTGCGGAGGCAGGCGTCCGCACTGCCCCAGCGAGAGGCGGAGGAGCGGGGCCACCCCGACGCCGTGTCCGAGCTGAGAGCTGAGAACCAGCGGCTCACGGCATCGCTGCAGGAGCTGCAGGGCATGTTGCAGGTACCAGGTTCCAGGTCACCTCCTTTCCTGGGCCATCCCTAGGGCTGTTTACATAGCCACTGGAAAGATGGGAAGTCATTGTTTTGGGCTTACCTGTCCCATCCTCTGAGCATATTGCACAACGTGGTGCCTGTCATCATGTCTGGGTCTGGGTGGTGATGGGTGCTGGTTTCCAGCTCTGTAACTCTTGACTGTGCTCACAAGTGTGACTTAGTGCTTGGAGTGCACAGCAGATTGGTGCAGGATGATGATGGCAGTAGTGCCAGTCAGTGCTCTGGGCTGTCACTCCTGTGGTGCTTCTGGTGCAGTGGCAGTACCCTCTCACCTCCTAGACACCTGGTGAGGGCCCAGTGCCAGGCTCTGAGCAGATCCTCCTGGATATCCTGGAGCATGACTGGAAGGAAGCCCAAGACGACCGGCAGGATCTCTGTCAGAAACTCAACTCCCTGCAGAACGAGCTGCAGTGGGCCGAAGAGCTGAGGGACAAGGTAGAGCATTCATCACGGCCCCTGTCCCTGCACACCGAGCAGGGCCTGGAACAGAGGGCAGGGAGGGAACTGTAAAGCAATCTCTTTTGGGAAAGCTGATGCTTGCTGCTTGCTGTTCCCAGTACCTGCAGGAGATGGAAGATCTGCAGCTGAAATACCGGACGCTCCAGAAGGACTGTGATCTCTACAAGCATCGTATGAACACGGTGCTGCTGCAGCTGGAGGAGATCGAGAAAGAGCGGGACCAGGTAAGTTGCTTTTCACCTCCCAGCAAGAGCAGGGCTCTGGATAGCCTCTCCTTCCCCAGTGGATCTTGTCTAACTGTGCCAGGGTAGGAGGTGTGGGTTAACAGTTCTGTGCCTTTTCTCACTCTAGCTCTGGCTCCTTGCAGGCCATCCAGAGCCGTGAGGGGGTGCAGCTGCAATACTCCCAGAGCCTGATTGAGAAGGACCAGTACCGCAAACGTGTGCGGGCCCTGGAGGAGGAGCGTGATGAGCTCCTAAGCAAGCTGAGCCAGGCAGAAGGGCTGAAAAGCACACTGGAGGCACAGCTGCAGCGGTGCCAAGGCGGCCRCAGCCTCAGCAAGGTGAGGGTGGCTAGAAAGAAAGGGGAAGAGGGAAGGCAAAGGGGTCAGGACTGATTTCTGGGAGATGCAAATGAGRTGATGGAGTCACTTCTCTCCCAGATGTGCAGCTCTTCCTACTCCCTCTGCTCCAACCTCAGTAGCACCTGGAGCCTCGTAGACAACCCTACAACTGGACTCATGGATACTCTGGGGACTTCTGTTACCCCATTCCCAGGGGATTCAGCCATTCAGAGCATGGTGAGTGCTTGAGCCTGTGGTGGAGATACTGCCCAGAGGGCCATAGAGGCATTGGAGTGACTTCATTGTGAGGCTGTGACTCGATGGAAGGCTGGGCATGGGGTGATGTGTAAGGTGTGAGCAGATCTCGGATGCAAAGCTTTGCTCTCACAGTCTCTATCAAACTGGCCAATGCTGCCTCAGACTGTAGGAAAGAGGGGCAAGCAAAAYTTCATCCCACATGATACCTTAGAAATCAACAGCCTCGTGTAAAATGCTGTCATCCCCAAAATGCTGTTTAATCTACACATATTTAATCTACATATACTGGAGGAGAAATCCAGGCTCTTTTGAATCTTTTAGCAGCACTGGGTTGCTTTTAAGGGAGTCAGGTTCTTTTCTTTAACTCCTTGAGCTGTCATCCCAGCGTACCCTAAARTGGGCAGTCCCACAGGTTACTCACACCTCTGGGTGCTTGGTAGCTAAAACAGAAATATAAGGACAAGGCTGGATATTCTCTTCAACTGCTACTGCTGTCACAGCTTGCACATTACAAAAAGATGGGGATGCGGTGCCATGGATCTCTGTCTGAGCTATCTGCTTGGGAAAGCAAGCTGCTCCTTAGAGTTTGGAGGGATATGGATTATCCTAAAGAGGGTTGTGGTACCCGAGGAGCTGTTTACTCCCCTGGCCTGAAAGGAGGAGAGAAGTGATGCTGGGTGTTGATGTTAGCAAGCTAAGTGTCTCATTCTGCCCAAGGACGTGACTCCCGACAGTGAGAAGGATATCAACCGCCTTTCCACCTTCCCTTTTCCTCCCTGCATCGGCTCCATCCTCCGTCGGCAGCGGGAGGAGAGGTGCATGCCCTACAAAAGGTGATTGCTGGGGGCTGCTTGTCTCCTTTGTGGGGTTTGTGCAGTCCAGGGACAGCTGCCTGGCAGGGTTAGGAGAGAACCTGGAGTGGGAACTGAGTGGGAACTGAGTGGGAAGGCTGGCTGGGAGCTGTGTGCTGGCTCCAGGGGTGCTTGGGGTTGGTGGGGAAGTCTGTGGAGGTGAGACTGAGAACGGGATGCAAACAGGCTTTGGAAAAGCTCCTGCCTTACAGATCCACTTTGTGTCTCCTTTGTAGCTTGTCCTGTGGCTCCTTTAGCAGCATTGAAGATGCATCAGGTACAAGGATTTTCTCAATGGGTTTAGCTAAAAAGAAGTGGTGGCTGTGGGTAGAGGAGTTGGACAATTGACCCTCTCCCCAGCTCTGGCTTGTGCAGCTCACTTGTGAGGGYTCTGCACCTGTAGTGCAGTGCTGTGGACCTGCATATCCCCCTGTGCCTTGTCAGGCACAGCAGCTGGAAAAGCTGGCTTGTCCTCTGCACAGCAGGCAGCTCTGTTTGACTCGTGGAGAGCTGTTGGAGAGGAGCAGGTAGTAGAAGAGGGAAATAGAGGGAAATACCTTTGCCCCGGGGTGTTACTGGATACTCCTTTCATCTGCTACCACCTGTGTGATGGGTTGTAAATCTCCTGGAGTGAAGCTCCTGGTGCTGACAGGTTCTGTGGTGGGTGCTGCTGGTTGATTTCTGGGCACATCCAAGTGGCCTTGGCTGCTGCTGCCCTCTGACCAAAATGCTGATGAAGGGAACRAAGATTTGCTTGTTCTCAGGAAAAGTGGAAAACCCTTTTCTTGAAGGGTCGCCATCCAGAGCCTCCCTGCAGCCTTGGTTTCCCAGTCAGATGCTAGAAAATGGTCAAGAGAGGATGACAGACCCTTGCCACCCCCAGAACATGAGCTCCCTGTGGTGTTAATGGAAATGAAGTGCTCTCTCTCTCCCTTTTGCTCTTTCCCAGGCAGCGGTTTTGCCAGCACCTTGCTGGGGACCTTCTCTTCTTCCAGCAGCACCTACACCAGGGTGAAGTCGGAGATCTGCTTGTCCACTCTTTCCAGATGCAAGGAGGTCACCAGGAGGTGACTGCTGTTCTCTGAGCTGGGCACGCCGTGGCAGTGCCTGAGGGGACATTTTGTGGTGCCAGGGACCACACTTGAGAGACCCTTCCTTTCTACCCCTCCCCTTGCAGGCTCTTTCTCTCTAGTGGGAGAGGAGAGAAGTGAAGATCCTATAGTTCTTGCTTCCTAGCTGGACTTAACAAATAGGACACTGCAAAAAATTTATGGCAGGGATGAGGCTGTGGGCTGAACACACATCTGTGTGGGTATGGAAGGATTGTGGGAGCCCAGCTTGGCTTTGGTGATGGGGCTGGTGGGATAGAGGGGGGTTGTGGGGCTTTGTAAGCTCTGTCTGCATGCCCTGGTGATGGGCATGCTGTAAGACACGAGCTCTGTGGTGCAGAAAACACCCTGTAGCTGGACACAAGGCATGGGGGACTGGTTCTTAGGAAGGGCAGTAAACCTCAAGTGCCAGACTTGGCATTTCTCCTTGCCAGGTCACTGGTGGTACAGCTCACTAGTGTGGGCCATCCCAGCATCCCCTCACCCCAGGAGAAGAGGCTCGGAGCAGACATCTCCATCCTTGGAGGGAACAGGACAGGAATTTATGTCCAGTGGGTCAAACCAGGCTCACGGGTTGAAAAAGCAGGACTCAGGGAAGGATGCCGGCTCATTGAGGTGAGTCTGGGAATGGGCTCACTTTGTGGGTTTGCAGGGCACCTGAGATGATGCAAGGAATGTGGAGTGATCCCAGTGCAAGCTGACCACTGCCCAGCTTGAAGTCCACCTCCATTTCTCTAATTTTCCAGGACTGCTCTCTGTCTCTCCCTCTCAAACACCCACCCAGGTCTCATGGCACTCAAGTGTACCTGTGCATATAAAAATGCCAAGACCTTCTGAAACACTTCCTTGAGCTGTGAGAAGGGGGAAACAAAAAGGAGTCACACGATTAAGATGCCAGTAGGGCTTTGTGTCCCTCAAGTTGACACCCTCCGGTTGAGTCCCTGTCACCTTGTGGTTTTTCAGAGCAGTTTGCATCCTGCACATGTCCATTGCAAAGCAGTCAGTTCTGGAGCAAAGTTTTCTCAGGCCTTTGTGACCCTTGTGAGCTGTAGAGAATAATTGCTCTGAAGAAGGCTCCTGGAGGGAGGGGCAGGCATTTGTTTTACCAAGAATGACACCACTTGAAATACAGCTGTGCTGCTTGAATTAATATCCCGTTTGAAAACAAACCAGTACTCCTGCTCCCACACACGTTCACGSACACACACATTTCCTTTCATGACAGCTCACCATCCAGACTGAGTGATAGCTGGCAGCAGGTATTTCAGAGGCAGAGGAGGGAGCCAGGGGCAGACTGAGGATGTTTTGTCCTCAGAGTTTTTCCCAGACCTGCCCTCACTCTTTAACACTTTTTGTGTAACCCTGGTGGGTGAGGAAGCCTGGGGGATGCATGCTCTTCCAGCCCTTAGGTCTAATGGCATTGGGTCCTTGCTAGCTGAGGGTGCCATCACTGAAGGAAGAGGTGCTTTCCCTGGAGAACTGCACACGGGAGGTTGCCTACCTGAGTCTGCTGCACTGGGATGAGCCCTCTAGTCTCATCTTCCAGCTAGACCTAGAAGGTAAGGAGCTGGCAGCTGGGTCTTCTTTGAGCCTGAACTCTTTACCTCCCTTTCTAGACCCTCCACCCAGACCTGGAGATAAATCAGTTATTCTCTCTCCTCTCCTGTTTGGTCCTAGGCCACCATGTGTGACACAGGGGTTGGCCATAGCTCCGGTAGCTTTCCCTGTCTGGTGTGACATCCTCTGAGTTACGGGATGGAGGTACAGACCTTCTGTCTGTTTGCCTCCTCTGCACCCCACCCTATCCATAGCATCACAACTGTGCTGGGGACTCGGCTTTCTCATTGGTGACTGCCATCTGCCATGTCCCCACCAGCGGTGACCTGTGTTTCACGCTCCAGGATACCAGCCTCTGCGGGCAGCCCTGGAGGAAGGGAAGAAATTTTCCGGAGACTCCTTCTACGTGCGCACCAACCTATCCCTGCTGGAGCCGTCAGACCCTTACGCGCTGTGCGTGAAGTGCCAGGAGATCCTGCAYGTCACGGACACCATGCACAAGGGCCGGCTGGAGTGGTACTGCTCTCGTGTCGATCCCTTGACCGCGCGGGACCTGGACAAGGGCACCGTGCCCAACTACAGCAGGTAAGCAGGGGGTACCTGCCCCACTGGTCTGTGCTGATCGTCCCCTATCAGTCCTGGGGGTGCAGACTGGCCTCTTAATGGTGTGGGATGTCTAATTCTTGTACGGGAATCAGTGTGGTAGTGTTTGGGAGCCCTGGGGGGACTGGGAGTGTGAGTGAGGGCTTTGACGTGCCTATGCTTCTGTGGGACTGGTGAAGAGGATCACAGCAGGCTATGGTCCCTGGAGCCTCTGAAGTTGCTTGAGTGYGAGCTCTGTGTCTTTTCAGGGCTCATCAGCTTTTGAAGATCCAGGAGAAGCACCAGATGCCTGGGCAGCAGAGRGGCCACAGAAACAATGTAAGCCAAAAAAGTGGCAATGAGAGCTRTGTGTGTGTGTGTCCATGGCCACCTCACCATCCATCTCAGATGCAACCTGCCCCACTCTGTTGGTAAAACCAACTCGTACAGAGATTGGAGATGGTTTAGCAGCACAGCTTTTAGGCCAGGCAGTATTACTGCTCTGTGGCTGCTTTTCTACCACATCCCTGCTTCCTAGACTAAACCTAATGCAGACTCAATCCCTTGCATTTTGCAAGGGTGCKCCATCCTTTTTGCCAGAGCAAGCCAAGTCTGCACATGTGTGAAAAGGTCAGTGCTCTCAGCCTAATTGCCTTCACTTTCTCCTCAGCTAAAGAAATGGGCCTTGGGCCAGCTGCGCTTGGTGAAACCCAAACCACAGAGGAGCCCGGAACAGCCCCCTCAGCAGCTGTGGTTAGACCCCTGCTCAGGTGAGCTGTTGGCCCTGTGCCTGCCCTGTCACCCTTGGAGAGCCAATTGTACCCATGTCATCCAACTTTAGTGAAGAATAAACAGCTGTGTAACTCAAGAGAGTCCCAGAAAATGGGCAAGGGGTCTACATCCAGGGTATCTGTCCATGAGTTAGGGTTGTAACCAGGGCAGGGTCTCTCCTGGGACATGAGATGGTTGGTAGGTGCCTCCATGATTCAGGATGAGGAGCTGGTACAGAAGGATGGGAGGTCTGTTGGCCCATCTGGTCTCCTGTGTTCTCACCTTTGGCTTTCTCTTCTTCATTGCTGTCTTCCAGGCCCAGACACGAGCCTGAAACCATACAGCCTGGTGCGCCCTGTGCTGGTCAAGACACCCCGTCCAGTGGTGCTGTCCCCGAGCTGCATTGCACCGCGGCTCATCAGGAACCTGCTGGACTTGCCCACCTCTCGCCTGGACTTCCAGGTGTGCCCAGCAGGTAAGCAGCAATGAGTGGCTGCTCAGTCCAGTTCAGTGAAGAGTTGTTCTTTTCTTGGCAGTTTGAGCTATGGTCTCATAAGAGTCTGGGAAAGCACGTGAGGTCTCTCTTCAGAATATCTTAGTCTTCCTAGTAATACCTGTTGACAGGTCACTTTTTGGGCTGAGTGTCTGCAAGATATTCCCTGCTATTTTTAGCTGTGTCCTATCCCTTTGGCCCATAGGGAAGCCAGCCCTCCCTTCTGATCACCTGAGGCAGGGGGATCTTCTCTCTTCCCTTGGGTGGGTGATGGTGTAACATTGTCTTGCTGCTCTGGGTGGCTCTTCCCAGAGGTGAAACCCTTGTTTGATGTGGGATTTGCAGGCTGACTTCATGCCAGCTCTTCCTGCCCAGGAATGGGAAGATCCAGCCTTAGTGCAGTTATCCCCTTCCTTCTGCCAGCAGCATGAGGCTGACACATGGCTGAAGAGGCTGCTGGGAAAAAGGGCATTTCTCTCAGAGGGAATGTTCAGTCAGAGGACAACTCTCTCTTTACTCCTTACTTCTCCAGTGCTCTCCTTTCCCAGTGTTCAGAGTTCTCCCTTTGCCATCTGCAGGACTGWAAAATGAGTTGGTTTATTTGTTTGYGGGGTAATRATGGAGGTAGTGAAAAATCTCTGGTTTGCTGAAGGATGGCTCTGAACATTTTGGCTGCTGGGCTTGTCAGCTGAGTGACTTGGCCATATATCCTGTCCTGCTGAGCCCTCTGCAGGGTCCCCCTCACATTGCACGGGGACCTGCTTCCAAGCTTTTACTGCGACTGGGAATTTACAYTGAGGGCAGAAACTCCATTGTCCCCTGCCAGTTTTGCCTGCTGAGAGGGAATGAAAACATCCATGAGCCCCAAGCTGTTTTTGCTGCCTGTATTTTCTTTTGGTCTTCCACAGAAGCCTGCTGCCTGCAAAGGAAACGTGGCTTTGCAGGCACCAGGTCTAGCTGGGAAGTACCTGTGCCACCAGACAGAGGAAGCAGAGGATGCCCAGCCAGCCTGGGCCCTGGGAAAACTGGAGCATGCTCTGGACCCAGTTCCAAACATGCCTTCTGCTAAAAATATTACTTTATTTCTATCTTAGGGACAAGCAGCTGCTAAAAACCTTTTTATGATCCCTGCTCAAGTTTCTGTGGCAGTGTGGGGAGATGCCTTAGAGCAGCACCGTGCCACCAGCAAAAGGAGATTCAACTCATCAACATTTTCCTCCCACTCTCTCAGGAGGCACCCACTCTGCTTGCTTCCCCAGCCATGGTGCTCACTTACAGGAGGCATCTATAAACCTGTGTCACTCTCAAACCCTGCAGAAAACCTCTCTGGCAAGATAAAGTGGTTATTTTTCTGCCACACACTGTTAGGCAGAGGTTGGGACAGTGGGGAAGTGGCTGGTTACTGTTTGTGAGCCAGCTTAGGCTGCTGTGGTACAACACAAGGTGCTGCTCTTGCCATGCAAGGCAGGATCTGAGGAAGGAAGTCAGTGCAAGAGGGAGAAGGAGCTGACATTTCCATTTTCCTATCTCCTCTTGGCTTGCAGAGAAGCTGGCAGGAGGGGATCCCAGCRCAACCCACGCTCAGGAGCACCCTGTGTCTAGAGCTGCCCCCCAGGACCAGAGGGAGAGCAGGAGAATCTGCATGATTCGGGAAGTGATGGAGAAGGTGCTGAGGTGTTTGGTGTGGGGAGAAAGAGCCAGAAGGGAGCATTTCATTTGGATGGAAGGAGGGGAGAGGGCAGCTGAATGGGGTGGTAATAGAGAAGGAGCTGCTTGCTTGGGGGCTGTGTTATTCAGAGAGTTTTCTAGGTCGAGGTGCTGTGGAGTTGTGGAGCAGCAGATATTGACATTTCTCTGAGTCTCTGATGAGCTCAGATAAAATAAATGGCAAATGAGGATTTGTGGGGGAGGCAGTGGGACATGCCATACTCAGAAGKGACCTCCCTGCTCTCACATTCCTCATGTTCACCAAGGTGGCAACAACTCTGCTCAGGGCAGAAATATGGGACTGTGGTGACAGCGATGACAAAGGGGATGTGAAGATGGGCTTTGGCTGAGAGAGGGGTTCAGTGGGCTCTTGGACTGGATTGGCAGTGTTGGAGTGGGTGACCRTGCTTTTTAATTCTCCCCTTCTCTATTGGCACTGTCCATAAATCTCACTTTTAATGGAATTAGTATTGGAAAAGCAATGATATTGCACAGTATGGGATTTGATTTAATGTAACTGTCAGGGACCAGGGTTATTTTTTCTCCATTTAAATCAGTAAATCTATTCAATTTCCTTTCCAGAATAAACACTGCCTGCTAGAGCTGGGAGTTGAGGCTGTGAGGGATCTAATTAAAAGTGAAATATACCCCATCRTTATCCATGTTGAAGTCACTGAGAAGAACGTTAGAGGACTCAGGTGAGGAAGGACGGCGTGGCATGGATGAAGGGTGTCATGGGAGGAGAGAGAAGCCCTCGTCTCTGCTCAGAGAGAGAGCAAGGATCAGGCAAGAGCACTGGATGTGTGTGCTGGGGTTGGCCGCTGTGAGGGGAATAATTGGCTTTCTGTGCGTGAGAGAGCAATCCTGGGGGGGTTTGCCACGCCACCTCTTTATGCCAAGGGTAACATTTGTCCCTGTGTTTGCCCAGGAGCTTGCTGGGGAAGGCAGGCCAGCGGGACTTGGAGGTGCTGAAGACATGTCGTGCTGTGGAGCAGGCTCTCCACACCCTGCCGTGCTCCTGGGCCCGTGTGGAGCCCCACGCCTGGAGCCACGCTGAGGAGCTGCCCAAGGTGGTTCGTGGATGCATCTTCCAGGAGCAAACCCRCCCACTGTGGGTCGAGGAGGGCGATGACTGAACTGGGGGTAGCAGAGCGGCTACTGTCACCTACTGTCCCCGAGAGCTGCTCTCAGAGGTCCCTGCCTTCCCAGGTCCCTCCAGGTAGCATGTTCTTCCTCCCTGAGGGGATGCTGGCAGCAGAGGCCYCCCAGGGTAGCCTTTCTCATCCCCTTGAGGGCCACCAAGAGCCAGGAAGTAACACATAGTGCCTCCTCTGTCTGAGCTTTCTGCATTTCACTGGGAAGATATCTTCTGCCATGGGGGTTGAAACCACCCTTGTGGGCTGTTCCCTGTCACCTTGGGCTGCCCTTGCACGTGGTCAGACTGACAGATAGGGAACGTAGGGGAACTGTGTGGGATCAGGCTGCGTAGGAGCATTTCTCACACACATTTGAAGCTCTTCTCCCATCACCACCATCTCCCCTGCCTGGTGGCACCGTGTGCTCCRGGTCCCCTCTTCCCATCTACCTCGCCTCCAGCCCCAAGGCACAGGGAGCGTGGCTCGTGTGCCTGTGACCTGCTGCGGCCAGAGTGACACTAAGGTTGCAACAAACCCTCGTTTTATAGGAGCTGTACTCTTTATTGCTTGTAAATTATTAATGGAGCCTTTTATTGGCAAACTGCCTGTAAAGGAGAATTAAATACCATTCATAATGGGAACAGGCGGCAGGCTATGGGCTTGTGTGTTATTGGAAAGGCACGCGTGATGCACGACGGGTTATTTTTCTCCTCTAGATTCAACTGTCCAGCCCTCCAGGGGAAGGAGAGAGCACTGCCTTTGCTGTTGTAGGGCAGCAAGAAGTGTGGGGAGAGGACAGGTTAAGTGTTCCCTCCCTTTTCTACTTGGTCCCTGATTTTCAGTCCTTTGCCTCTCCCCAGCACTGGTGTTGGTCAGGGTGCTTTAGGAAAGTCAGGGAAAGACTCRCTTGAGTTTTGAATTGTGTCTGGCAGGGATCCCTAGAGCTTTGCATCCCTCCGTGCCCTGGTTAGTGTGAAGTGACAAGCCAGCTATCTCACCCTCCTGGGGACAGCGAGGAGACTGAGCCCAGCCATGGTGCTAGGAGAAAGGGGGACAGTGCCCCTGCAAAGGGGGATTCTTGACATGGGGCCAACAGGGGTTCAGACTCTTAACAGATGGAGAATGGAGGCTTTGGGTAGCCACAGCAGTGCTCACCTAGGCTGCATAGTCCTGAATGCTGTTACACAGCCACCGTTACCAGAGCTGCCATGGAAAGGGGGTGCTGGGATACTGTACAAAGTGGTGGTCGTCATGGTAGGTGTTCTTTCTTGAGGCATGCCAGGGGAAAATGAAGTCTGTGGCTCTGGGAGGCTTTTTAGGGCACAAGGTCAGGCAGAGTCCACTGATTCTGGGGTCAGTGGGAGAAGATGGGCAACCAGCACCAGAGGCAGGTCCTCTCTGTGTCCTCCTTGCCCCTCTGATTTGGCACTGCTGGTGCCATGCACTTGGGAAGCTCTGAGCAAAGATAAACTTGCTGATTTTCACGAGTCCCCTGTGAGGTGTTATTTCAGGCTCTAAACCAGTTGCCTGTGTCTTTTATGAGGACAAGATTGAAGCGGGGGGGAGGAAAGAAAATGAAGATTTTAACTTGCAGTCACTAAAATGTAGAGCAAAGTCCTCGCTCTGCCCTGGAGCCATGCAACTCTTCTCTCAGGGAAGGGAGCTCTGGCATGCACAGGGCTCCAGATGAAAACTCCCAAGTGATATCCACTCCAGGGGATGCAGCCTGAGCATCCCGGCACAGCCAGTCCCCTGGGAGGGTGCTTGCCCTGCAGGCAAACAAAGTGGGATTCTTGTTGAGCTGATGAGAAGACAAATCCCAAAACAAGCTCCCATTCACCCTATCATAGATTTGGAGATTGGAATTTGCATCTTTGCGGGGGGGAAAAAAGTAGTGCTTGAGTATTCAGGGAAAACACTGGGTGTGAGGCACTGTGACTCAGGGCTTGAAACTTCCTGGTGTTTCTGCTGGCACTGGGAACCAGTCCCAGCCCCGTGGCCTAGGCTGAAGGTGGTTTACAGCAGCCCCTCCACTCTGGGGAGTCAGGCTGTGCTCCCAGCTTAGCACTTGCTGCCCCCCACCAAAGAATCCCATCCCCAGCACTGCCCTGGGCCATCAGTGCTCTCAGCCAGAAGGAAAGGGAGGCAAAGGAAGGTTGCTGGAGGCAGGTTGGCACTGCCCAGCTGGCCAAGCAGTGGCAGCGCTGCCTCCCCTGCTCCCAGGCTTCTTCCAGGCTCTCTCTTTATCCAGCTCCTCTCCCCCAAGGCTTTCAAAATCCAGCCTTAATTTGTTCTGGACACGGGTGAGAAGTGGGGCAGAGGGCTTCAAGGCAAACATAAATGACCCTGTCTGCCCTGCACACCTTGGCCCACTTCTTTTTACCTCCTGGGGGGATGGCTGCCCGCTTGGAGGAATGAGTCACGGGTTAGGTAACAGTCAAATACAATTACAACCCCTGGGCACCAATTACCAGCTGTAACAGCCTTGTGCAAACCCCTGTAAAGAGTCACCCAGAGCAAGATTTCTCTCTCTAGGGAAGGGATTGTCAAGGTGGCACATGTGTCACCCTGGGAAGTCACCAGCCCTGCCCACAGTGGTCTCCTGCCCCAGCAAAGTTTCCTGGCACCATGCTCTGTATGAGCTAGCTTTGAATAGTATTTGTAATGTCTGTTGGGGCCGTCACTAAGGATCCTGTGCCCGTGTCCCACCTGTACCTCCCCAATGATCTCCTAAGCCAGAGCTGGGAGGTGCAGGATGCCTTGAAGCCATAGAGGCTTCCTTTACAGGTGCCTGAGGCTGCTGGCATGTGGCAGGAGCACTYGGGGAGGTTAATTTCTGGTTCAGGAGCAGTGGCCAGCCATGTGAGCAATCCCAGTACTAAGCAGAGAGGCAGTGGATCAGTCACACCAGGTTCACATCCCTGCAGTAATGTAAAGCCTGAAGGTGAATGACTCCCCCCGTGCCCCAAATCAGAGTAAGAAAACATCAGTATTCAAAGGGATCTAAAAATAAAACTGGCAGGGACCCTCCAAAGGGACATGGAAGATGCTCTGGAGACGTTCTTGCTTCAGGGGAAGGCAGGAGACTTGGAGAAATACAGGGGAGGAGGGAAGAGAAGTGATTCGGTGATGTCTTCCTTAAAAAAGAAAAAAAGTTGTAGCCAGGGACAGGGGTGGAGTGAAAGTGTGTCTGAGACTTGGAGAAACTAAGCACACGGTTTTAGCCCTGCAGGCAGGTCCTCCCTGTGTGCCTGGAAGGTGTCTATGGCTGGACACACGGCGGGAGTGTGGAACAGAGGGTTTCCGATTGCTGCCCTGCCCCTCTTTCTAAGGTCCCATGATCTGACATTTGCATGGTGTGGAGGTGCCCTTTTCCACAGGGAACTATTCCACACCCCCACCATTTCTCCTGGGCCCCAGCTTATTACTTTTTATTTTTATTTTTTTTGGTGTGCTGAGATTGGAAGCCCACAGCTTGTAGCTCCCTGAGGAGGCGCTCTGATTTTGGCAGCTTATGTAGAGCACTGCCATCCTGCTGTCCCCACGCTTGCTGCACAGGGAAGCTGCGGTGGGTGTAGGGATATCATCCCCCTCCTGGACTGGTTGTCTCTCTGTATCCTTCTGGATACTCTGTAAAGGGGTGTGAAGTGGGGGACTGCATGGTCACTTACCCCATACCTAACAGAACCACCAAAAGCATGCAGCCATCTGTGGTGCTGACTGCAAAATTTCCCTTCCATCATGGTCTTTGTCTTGGAAGGGGCTCTCATACCTTTTGAGGGTCTCTGATATCCCTATCCCTTGTTGGCAACCAGAGGGCTGGGAGTGAAAGTGGCACGGGGAGATTGGTGGGGAAGTGAGATAGGTTGGGAAGGACGTGGAGGTGGCACTTTGCTGTTGTGCCTGCASGTCTCTGAGGTTTTCCAAAGAGAGAGGACATCCCCGCTTCCTTGCCCAGGCAAGGGGAAAAGGAATCTTCATCTTGGACAGCACAAGAGCCACAAGAGACAAGCTGCTGAGCTCAGCCCTGCTGCAGGGGGCAAGGACCTGGGTGGGATATAAACTCAGTGTGGCACTGCACCCCACCCCTGGAAGTGTTTGAGGTCAGGCTGGATGGGGCTCTGAGCAACCTGGTCGAGTGGAAGGTGTCCCTGCCCACAGCACAGGGCTTGRAACTGGGCAAAGGGATCTTTAAGATCCCTTCCAGCCTGAGTCATTCTCTGATTCTACAACTGAAAGGGTGGCAGCAGGCCTTCCTCATGCTTTTGGTTGCTGATGTACCTGTTCCTGTGAGTGTCACTGGTTCTGCAGCCACGTGGGCACCAGAATGTCCTTGGGCATCCTGGTGGGGGTGTGAGATGGGGCAGAAGGAGGGGGTTGCGGGGCTGGAGGGAGTGGAAAAGGGATCTTCAGGAGCAGTCATATTTTAYAGAGATGGGTATCAGAAGTGGGGGTCACACCCCAGCTTGAGACCCTGGAGTGTGGCGGCAGGAGGGACAACAGGGAGCACACATCTTGCTTCAGGGAGTCAGGCTGGGACTAAAAACCAGAGGCAGCAGTTCAGGCCTGTGTCCACAGGAAAATTTTGGGGCTGAGGAATTCCTGGAGAAAAATCGTTCCTCCTAAGGGCAATATAGGACCCCACACCTTAACTTCACCGGAGCTCACAGCAGTGTCACCGTGTCCCCTCCTCCCTCGAGAGCACCCTGGGGATGAGCAGGGCTGCAGAGATCGGACTGGACTGTCACAGAGGAGCGGGGAAAACAGTCAAGAAACAGGTCTGTCCCCCCAGACCTGCCGTTTGCCACCTCGGAAGTGTCGCAGGCCGCGGATGCCCTGGTCCGGCAAACCCACCGTCAGACGTACACCTCCGCCCTTCTCCATCCTTCCCCCCTCCACCCTCTTCCTCCCCCGGGCTGGCGCCCCGCCCCGTGCCCGGAGGCGGGACCGGGGCTGGCAGGGAGCAGGAGCAGCGGGACGGAGCAGGTGGGGAGGCAGTCCCGCCGCAGACTGTCCCTGTCCCTGTCCCTGTCCCTGTCCCCGCAGCGCTGGTCCCGCCGCTCGCCCGCTGCCGAGCCCCCGGCTCGCATCTGTGGGCTGGTGCCTTCTGGGGAACTGATGCCTTCGGTCCACACTTCCCACTCGTGCCTCTGATCTGCTTTGCCGCCCCCTCAACACCCAGCCTGGGACGCTCGGCCGCTCCGTGGGGAGSAGGGATGCTCGCTTTCCTCCTGGCAGGCTGTGCCAGCCACGTGCCATCGCCTCGGTGTATTTCCCCGTCGTGTGTCCCTGCCTCGCTGGGTCACTGAGCCCTCCGTAACATGTGGAAATCCTCCCTGCTTCACTGGGATCCTTCAGCTCTGCTGACTCTTWGGCTTCCTGGTCTTTGCCCACCCCGTTCCTTGACCACATCCTGTTCAGACCTTGCTCTTGACTAATCCTGTGCCTTCGGAGGGTTCCAGAAGAGCCGACAGCTTCACGTGGAGGTACAGGCAGAGTTTGTCCTCGTTCGATAGGATACTGGCCACGGCGGGGTCTGTTTGGGAGCCATGGGCCGGCGGCTCATCCGCGGTGTCTCTGGAGCCGCAGTTTTCCTGGCCAGCGTGGCTCTGCTCTCCATGCGGCACCGTGAGGCTCAGGAAACAGCTCGGTACTCAGGGATCGGGGAGGGTATGTTGGGGAAACCAGGGCCACAGAGCAAAGGCAGCCCGGACGGAGCTGGTGGCAGGGGGCAGAAGGACCTCAGACTCCATCCTCCGGAGGGACACAGGACTGAGGGAAACCTGACACTTGGGGACATTTTCATAGCTGTGAAGACAACCAAGAGATTTCACCAGAGCAGGGTGGAGTTGCTCCTGGACACGTGGATATCCCAGGCCAGCGAGCAGGTGAGTGTGTGGATTCTGACTAAAGAGGAGGGGTTGGTAATGGGGCAGGGATGGGGTGTCAGGGAAGGGGATAAAAGCCAAAGGATGAGGAGGCTGGGCACTGTAGTGCCCCTCAGTACTTTGCCTTTTTCTCTTGTTCTCGCTGTGCATTCAAAGGGAGATGCTATCCAGCAAAATGTTTCACCAGGAGCTGCTTCATGGCAAAGGCTGGCAGAGAGGCCACCCCAGACTGAATGCACAGACCATCCTGTGCCTGTATGAGATGGTGGTTTTCTAACTCTTGGTGCYGTGAGTTTGTTGGGTTTGGAGCTGGCAGGCTCCCCTGGCCCTTCCTCAGGATACCTCCACTGTGCCTGGGCACCTATTGCCCTGGAAAGGTGCGGTGCAGTGGGCAAGAGAACAAGGCAGACACGTGGAGGACCTCCTGTAGTCAACCCCCAGCATATCAGCCCAATCCATACTTTCCTTTCTTGGGCAGATGCTTTCATGCGCATGATCTTGAANTTTTTTTTTTTTTTTTTTTTTTTTTTTTTTTTTTCAACTGGGGGCCTGATGTTTCCACTTTTTGCTAAAACAGAGTTTGGAGAGTTTCCTTCCTGTTAGAGGAGCTGATGTGGGGCACCACATTAGTGGTACTGTGCAGACTGGCTTACTGGTGTGCAGGAGTACTCCCCAGAGCTCCAGTGGTTTTCTCCCTCCCTCGCAGAGCTGCTCCTCAAGACAGAAGAAATCCTGGGGCTGCCCTGAAGGGTGGTTTTTTTTGCCTCTGCCTGTGTGTGATGGGTGCCTAGAAGGCAAATTCAGGCTTCAGCGAGGAAGGGGGATGGGGGCGGAGGTACTGGGTAGGAGAGCACCTGAAGCAATGCGGGGTTTTCTGGGTAAGGATGGTTTTCCACTTCACGGTGCTGCAACTGTCTGATGTGCTGCRGTCGTCACAGGAAGCTGTGTCCTATTTTGAGCATGCTTCCTCTCCTGGCTGCGTGTCCCTCTCAGCAGCTGAGGTGCTTTGCTTCTTCCTCCAGATGCACTTCCCCTCTCCGTCGGGCTCTGGCCCAGCAACTCCTTGGAGAAACCAAACCCAGCCACATGGCTGCACTGGCATTAGGATATTGCTTCTGGGCCCTTCCCTTCCCAGTGGGCTTTTAGGGAGCAATTCACCTTTCCTTCCTTTGTTCGACAAGCCAGTGCCTGGCCATTCTGCTGATGATTGGAATTAGGTACTAGCTCCCCAGATTYATCTGATCCCCTCTGGCATGCAAGTGATGTCCAAACCTGGAAAGAGGTGTTGCATTTTTCTTGCGGCTGCCAGCCTCTGGGAAAGCTACACAGACTGAACAGGAAAATAGGAAGGAAGGCTAGAGTGGGCCTCATTCATTTTGAAACATTTTTTTCAGTGTTATCAAATTTTGTCACAAGCTCAGTATTTTCCTCTCCCCTCTCAATTTTCTGTGTTTTTCTTCTGCTTTTCTTTGAGGGAAGGGGAGTGGAAGTGGAAAGGGAGGTAAAGAGAAGTACATGAAAATCAAATATTTTCTTAATATATTCCTGCTTAAGGATTTTTTAAAAGTTTACGGGAAAGGGGTAGTTTTGAAAATCTGACATTATCGAAAACCTTGTTTAGAAAAAAAAAAAAGACGGCTTTCAATTTTCAAAGGACATTTAATTGTTGTGGGAACAGGAACAGTGCGTCTGACCTGCTATTACTGAGTCCTTATGGAGAGGCACAGGCTTTAGGAGTCAGTCCCAAAGAAATCCAAGTCTCAGAAGTCCTGATGTGCAGAGGCTGCCTCCTCCTAAAGCTGACCCAGCGTCTCAGTGTCTCACTTGCTCTTCAGAAGAACTCACTCAATTCCATGCGTTTTTCTCCACCAATGGCCAGCAGGGAAATTTTAGCAGCTGGCCATGTTGCTGATGCCAAGCTTGGCTTCAGAGTGGATTGCCTGCCTGGTTTCTTCCTGGAGGAAGCAACCCAGACCTCCCAGGTCAGGCTTAGGTGGCTGTAACAGAAGACAGGAGCAGCTGTGGTTTTGATGTCAAGGACAGACTGTATGGGGGCCAAATTAAAAGTCCTCTGTGTTGAACTCTTGGGGTAGAGAGAGAGAGAGAGAAAGAGATTGTCTCTGGAACGGCTCTGTTTAATCTGAAGACATGCAGTTGRTGAGAGATGGGGAAGTGTGAGGTGGGCACTCTTTGCTGGACCATGCTCTCCCTCTTGAGAACTGATCCATGTCAAGCTTTCCACAGGAGATTGACATGAAAGTCATTTTAGTGAAAGACTTTTTTTCTCAGCAAAAGCTCAATCTAAACACAAGTGTTGGTTCTAATCCTTGTTTAGACTGGGCAGAATCTTGAAGTGACTTGCACTGTTGGCCCCAGATGGAGATAGTTTTGATGGAGGGAAGTCCAGCTTTCTGGTGTGAAATGGAGTTTGTGTGGTAGCGTGAACTAATTCCAACACCCTCCCTCCTTTTAGAAGCCCACACATCCAGCCAATTGAAATGAAACCTTTGAATGGCCCATCCTGAGCTGGCTTTCAGATTTCTAGTGTTGTGAACGCACCACAGGTTTTGAGTCTATTCTCTGTGCAGTACACAATAATAACCCTGCTGAAGTGTTTGCATTCTGGAGAGGGTTTCTTCACAGAGAACGGATACCCTGGGAGCCTGGGAGATGAACAAAGCCCTGGATTGTCAGGTTCCATATCTTTATTCTCTTTTCCTAGTTTTTAATTTTTTTTTTTATTTTATTTTCATTCTCCAGTTTGGGGTGAAGAGTTATCAAAGCCTAGTATTTACCAATTGCAAGGGCTCTTATGTTCACGGAGAGCTGCCAGAAAAAGCTGTTTGATGCAGTGGCTCCRTATCACTGCTTGCACTGCTGTCCAGCAGACATCCTTTCCTACACAGACATCTTCTCCATTCCAGGATAGAGGGATGCTTCATGTGCTGTGCTTCATCTCTGGCAGCAATTGCTGTTCCAGGTTTCCCACCCTCAGGATGGAGGCAGCTGCCTGTGCTATTGCGATCTTCTTTTGCATTTATTCAGCACAGCCAGGTGTGCCATGGAGATCAAAGTTTGGAAGAGCCAAAAAAATCAGACTCGCCTAGTCCCTACACTCCCAGCTCCCTTTTCCCAGTTATTTTGGAGAGTCTGGTGTTGCCTGTGGTGACAATGTACTTTTATCCTTGGGTTCCAAAGAAACATGTTGGGTGTCTGCAAAAAAAAACATTTCTCATCATGTATCAAGAGAAAACTGGGAACCTCGGAATATTTTTATGAGTAGAAAATTTGGAAAAGATGCAGATTGCTATTTTAAGTCAATCAAATCTGATGCTTGTTAGACACGTGATATCTAGTTGGTTTTATATCTCTAAGCAAGTAATTTCCAGCAACAATATTTCATGGGTTTTTTCTTTTRAATATCAAAATGTTTCAAGAGTTTCAGATTTTTTTTTTTTTCTGAAGATTAAAAAAATTAGCCAGAGTGGAAATTTCTAACTCTGACATGCTGGCAAGGGAAATGCCATGCYGCTGACAGTCCCAGCCTTGCCTGAAGGTTGTGATATGGTCCCCTGACCCAGAGCAATTCCTTTASCTGACACTCAGCTAATTGCTTCTTGTCACATGATCCCCTTGGAAGTGGTTTTAACTAAGAGGCTTCACTGGAGGGGTGGGAATGTGTGTATGGCCCATTGCTGCAGCTCAGCTGTTGGGGGTAATTCACCCAGCTCTGGTGAGTTCAGTGAGACAGAGAGAGATCCATCTGAGATCAGGAGACCATCCTGGTGTCTGTGCTTGAGCCGGGTGATCTCTGAGGATCCTTCATTGCCCTTGTTTCACGTGCACATTTCTCTTGCTMCGTCCTCTAGACAGGGATGTATCTCCCAGTGTTGGGTGGGTGTGGGGAGATGTAGAGACTCGAGTCTTCTTGCCAGAGCCTTGGGGAGCAGTGAGGGCTCCTGGAGCTGCTGTCTGCCTGCCTCGTTCCCTTTGTGCCTGCRCAGGTGCTGTGTTTAACCAGCCTGTGGGCAGCTGGTAGGGAGACTGTTTACGGCTTGTGACTCCTTTTTTATTTCATGAAAGCTCATTTTCTGCCTGAGGGAAGCTTTTCTCCACCAGCCCTGATTCTCGCCTGGCTCTGAAAAGGGAGAGATGTGCCACATAATGGCAGCAAGGGGGATTAGAGAAGCCTGGAAGTGAAGGAAGAGGAGGAGGACGGGGCAGAAAGTGGCAGGGGGCTGTGCACTCTTCACACACAAGCAGATGTTCTTTTAACCCAAGTATTATTTAACCACAATGCTTTCATTTTTCTACCACTTGCACCTAATCCCGGGCTACCTCACTCAGTGTCACAGGTCCCCTGTTCACAGGGCAGTGGTGAGCACCATGGGGGTGGAAATGAAGCCATACAAGCGCTGATGGTTGTGCCCTGTAGGAAGGGGGAGCACAGGCACCCTTGTGTTCAGCTGCTGCCTGGGAGGGGGTACAGCAGCTGAGGATGGAGGGGGGTAACCATGTTGTAACCATGTCCAGCTGTGGGAGAAAGAATTGAGCAGCCAGGAGCAGCACCAGCCCCATCCCTGAGAGTAACCTCTTCTCCTTGTTTCCCCAGACCTACATCTTCACTGATGAAGAAGATGATGCCTTGAAGAGGAGAATGGGTAATGACCTGTCCTGTGATGCCCTCTTTCCATCCCACCTTCAGACTCTGAACTGCCCTGGCCTTGAAAGGGGGGCAGGTGTGAGGGCTGGCTGTCCTGCYCCAGCACTGAAATATGCCCCTTGCCATGTGCCCTGGGAGGGCCCCAAACTGTGCTGGTGATGATTTGGTGTGCTGTGCCTCCTCAGGGCATGCAGCCAACTGGAGGCAGGGTGCTGTCTGCCTGAAAGCATCCATGGGTAAGGAGCAGCACATGACAGAGCCCTTCAGCCTCTGTATCGTGGTTGGCAGTGGGCAGGGTGTAAGTGTGGATGGCCGGTGTCCTAGTCCTGGCCAAGTTGCTTGGCTTTGTCCAGATTTCATCTCCTGGCAGGGGGAWGAGTGGAGTCCGTGTCACCATGGGCTTGGTGCTTGTTGGGGGGCCATGAGGAGACTGTCTATGAACAAACCCCTTCCCTCCTGCCCAACTGCCCTCCATGTGATCCTTGTGCTAAGGGGGCTGGCTCTGAGCTGTCCCTCTTGTGGCAGGTGGCCATGTGATCTTCACCAACTGCTCTGCTGAGCACAGCCACCTGGCCCTGTCCTGCAAGATGGCCGCGGAGTTCGACGCCTTCCTGGCCAGCAGCCTGAGGTGAGGCAGGGCTGCCGYGGGGACAGCCTCCGAGAGCAGGAGGCACCCTCCTTACTGCAAACCTCTTGTGTCTTCCTCTCTGCCCCAGCTGGTTTTGCCACTTGGACGATGACAACTACCTGAACCCTCGGGCCCTCCTGAAGCTCTTGTCCTCCTACTCAGAGACGTGGGATGTTTACCTGGGCAAACCCAGCCTGAACCGACCCATCTGGGCCTCCGAAACGCTGCCAAACAACCAGACGGTACAGCCTGTGGTGGTGCTGCGGGGGCAGATTATTGTTTTGGTGCTTTAGCTCACACTTGTCGTGGTTTAACCCCAGGTAGCAGCCAAGCCCCAYACAGCCGCTTGGTCACTCTCCCACCAGAGGGGACCAGGGAGAGAATCGAAAGGGCAAAAAGTAGAAAACTGGGGGGTTGAGATAAAGAMAGTTTAGTAAGGAAAGCAAAAGCCATGCACACAAGGAAGGTAAAACAAGGAATTAAATCACTGCTTCCCGTGGGCAGACAGGTGTTCAGRCACCTCCAGAAGAGCAGGGCTCCATCACATGTAATGGTGACTTGGGAAGACAAATGGCATCACTCCAAATGTCCCCCCACTTCCTCCTTTTCCTCACAGTTTATATACTGATCACAATGTCTTATATATATAGTCTGGAATATCCCTTTGGTYAGTTGGGGTTACCTGTCCTGGCTGTATTTCCTTACAAMCTCCCCTGCACCCCCAGTTTCCTCACCAATATGYCAGTAAGAAAGCAAAAAAAAGGCCTTGGCTCTGTGTAAGTCCTGCTCAGAAATAACAAAAACATCTCTGTTTTATCAGCTCTTATGTTCAGCACAAATCCAAAACACAGCCCCACACCAGCCACCATGAAGAAAGGGGACTCTACCCCAGCTGAAACCGGCACAATATTGCAAGGAGCAATGGGCAGCAGCTGAAAACTTGCCATCTTGTCTGAACATGTCTGTAGGTGTTGACTGAATTTGATCATCCAGGCTGCTCTGCCTTTGCACACGTGTCTGACAGCACATAAGCCTGCCTTGGGCAGCCCACCTGTTGCTTCCAGCAGGAGCTTAGCTGTTCCAGTTAGCAGGAATTAAAATCCAGGGAAGTCCTTCTTCTGGGCAGCAATTGGGCTGGGGTGACAGTAGGGCTGTGTTTGTCCTGGCATCAAAGCCAGATTTCCAGCATTCCTATTTCTGGGAGTCTGGTATCATCTGAGCCTCTGCATTGATTTCTCTGGTGTTTCTCCCCAGAAATCCATGCGCTTCTGGTTTGCCACAGGAGGGGCTGGGTTCTGCATCAGCCGYGAGCTGGCCAGGAAGATGGTGCCCTGGGCCAGGTGAGCTGGGGAGCACGGGAGCCTTTGGGGAATGGCTGCACATCAATTCCTGGTGGTATCAGACCTGGGTTTGTGCATATGGTGTTWGCAGAGATGCAGACTGCTGCGTGCTGTGCATCTGCAAGATGTGGGGTTGGAGGAATGGTGCATTTGCCAACTGTTTGAAAACTGGTAGGAGCAGGCACATCAGCAAGGTCAGAGGATGATGTAGTGCTCTCTCCCCATCTCCTTAAAGATCATGGTTATTCTCCACATTCCTTCCCATCCCTTTTAGCTTCCTCTGTTGTTTTTTCCTAAATGATTTCCCTATCTGCCTATCTCATCTGCCCCTTGCCTGCCTCTTTCCAACTTTCTCTACCCTCCTCCTGAGCCAATTTTCTGTTCCCTCACCCCAAACCTTCTTCAGCTTCTCAGAGTGCCCGCTATCATTTCCTCAGCTTGATGCAGGCAGAACAGAGGTAGGCCCCAGGGTTGTGTCAGCCCAGCCTATAAGGGATGTATTCCATGATGCCCTAGGTTATTCCACAGGCTGTTCACACGCACGTTGGTGGCATTGACTGTGCCAGATATGAGCATACCCAGAAGGACAGATCTGATCCCCACCAGATGGCTGCTTCAGCCAAAACCTATGATACGTGTGTTTTATAGTAGACCCAGTCAGGAGGATGATCTGAGATAGAGTAAAATGAAAATGGCACAGATGGATAATGCCTAACCTGTCATAAAGTTGGCATTACTATTTTTAAAATGCTTAGAACACATTTGAACTGGCTGGGGATTGTTATAGGAGACAGTGCTTCATACTGCATAACTATTCCAATTACAGAAGCCTTAAAACTGCGTTTAGTCTGTCATCAGAAGGTGGCCAAGTATGTGGTGTTACATTACAGTGGACCCATGGATGGTTTATCCAAGCTGCATGTCCTGTTTGCTCTTCCTCCTGGACCTGGTCATGTTCTCCCAGTGTTTCTCTTGTGGGGGCTTATCTGACCCCTCAGAGTTCACCCAAACAGGTGGAGAAGTGACTTAGTGAAGTGTGTCCAGTCTCTGCATCAGCTTACCAAGGACCTGGAARTACATCAGAGACAGCATCTGACAATTCATGGGGCAGCATGGCTGGGAATGATGAAGGATCAAACACACTGCTGAATCTTTGCAGGTGAAACTCAGGGATTTCTTGCCTAGTTACAGGATTTACTCTGGTTTTCAGTAATCTCCTGCCCAAGTGGATGCCTACATTTGCCCCTACCCTTTTCCTAACCCACACAGCTCTACTGTCTTCCAGTGGCAGGAACTTCCTGAGCACTTCCGAGCTCATCCGCCTGCCGGATGACTGCACTGTGGGTTTCATTATCGAGTGYAAGGTCGGTGGGCAGCTGATTCCCAACGCACTCTTCCACTCCCACCTGGAGAACCTGCAGCTCATCCCCTCCTCTCAGCTTGTGCAGCAGGTGAGGAGGGGAAATGAAGCAAGAGGGAGATGTGCGAGGAAGGAGAAGTGGAGGGGAGCTTACAGGCACGTTATCCCACTGATGGCACTGATGTGCATTGAATCAGTCATCTGCTCTTCTGGGGAGGCTTTCCTGACAAATGCTTCTTTGAAATAAGGAGCAGATGTAGCCTGCAGCACAGTTGCCAGGCACAGTGCCCTGGGAGCAGTGGAGAGGAGCACATGCATGGGGAGTGATGGGAGGATGGAGGGCATCCCTGGGAGAATGTGGCACAAGGACAAGCAGAGATGATGATTGATTGGGAAAGGGCCTTTGACATGGCACTGTGCCTGCCTTGCAAAGGGCCAGTGGGGTGGGCCATCATGGGAAGGAAGACAGGAGAGATGTGGAAGACAGAGGCCAAGCCAGCAGAGAAAGAGCTAGAATGGGAGTTTCTGTCACCCACAGCAACTTCCTTGCTCCTGAACTCTCCTCATCCTCTCTAATCCTTTCTCACAACTGCTTTGTAGGTCACCCTCAGCTATGGTGTGTTTGAGAACAAACTCAACGTCATTGAGCTCAGTGGCCCCTTCTTGCCCCAGGAGGATCCCTCAAGGTATGGGGCATGCGTGCTCTGGCTGTTGCTGCTGTGTGAGTCCCCTGACCACAGACTGGGAGGGGGAGGCAGCCCAGCAAGGTGCAGGAGGGACAGAGGGACAGAAACCTTGCAGTCACATGGCTAACTGGGTGAGGGGCACACCAGCATTGAGCTGGTTTTTGAATGCTTATAAACTTTGCAAACCTTTGGATGAGTGGGAAGAAATGAAACGTTTGACAGATTTTATTTGGACAATTCCTAAGCCAAAWGTATTTCTGTTTATTTCCCACTATGAGGCTGAACAAGCTAACCTTTTACCTCAGGGACAGGAACAGAAATGTTCTTTTAAACTCAGGAAAGGAAATTCTGCTTGCTTTTTCATTTTATGCTTTGCTGAGAAAACTGAAGGGAAAAAAGAAAAAGGTTCATTTCAGGCTGACTGCAAACAAAACCGTTCTTTGATTTACCTTCTCCTCTTTGAGTGAACAAGCCTAAAGTTGTTATTTGCAGAGCATGAGTAGGAAGATCCTGGCTGGAGATAGCAGGGGTGGGAAGCAGCTAGGTGATGAAAAGAGCATCAACAGAATCATGTAGCAGGGGCTGGTGCAGTGCCCATTTCCCTACGTGTGATCAGGGTGAGCTGTGAGCTTGGGCTCCATGGGCTGAGAGCTGGGTTTGGGTATCAGAGGAGGCTTTGCTCGTCTTGAGGTGAAYAACCAGTCCTGAGCTCTGTGGTCCAGGGTGGATGCCTGATGTGGAATGGGACGTGAGGGAGAGGTCTTCCATCTTCCAATTGTGTGCTGGTGTAAAAACCATCTTCTGACCTTACTTTGCTTTYTCCCCAGCAGGTTTCGATCACTCCACTGCCATCTCTATCCCGACACGCCCTGGTGCCTGCAGGCTGTTGTCTGGTGATGCCTGAGCCTCAGCTACAGTGGATTTGGGTGACACCTGTTCACCTGTATGTGGGGAGTGGGACATTGAAGAAGCTTGGTGCTCCCAGTTTTGCCTTTTCTGTGGTGGTTGTGGTGCTCTGTGATGGCTTTCTTGGTCCTCACTCAATACTGGTGACACAGGACAAGAGACAAGGTCCTTGTCATCATCCAAAGATGGATAAGATGGGCTGCACACATGGATGAGTTCTCGTCTGTGCTGGAATATGTGCAAGGGAGGGAGCAATGTGCCTTCTGGGCAGATCAAGGATCCAATAGTGACTGCTGGGCATCTGGGTGGAGATGAGGACTTGCTGCTGCTGCCCTGTGCTCTGGCTGCATCTTGCTGGGCTAGAAGGGCCCTGTGTGTGTGTCCCTGGTGCCCAGCTCATGGTGGGTGGTGCCCAGCTCATGTCATGGCTTCAGATGCTCTGAGCAGGACCTCTTCCTCCAAATCTTCATTCCCTACTGCCACACTTTTCAGCCGCAGACCTGCTGAGTGTCTGCATAGTCAAGGTCTATAGAAATGGAAAATCTAACCATTTCTGTGCTGAGTGAATCCTGGAAAAACATGGTCCTTGCTCAACGGGGGAGGTGGACAGGAAGTACAAAGAATGAGGAATCCCCTGCTCTGCTGGGACRAAAAAGAGGGCATGGGGTAAGGGAGCCAGGAGGAGACTGAGCAAGATGAGGATGGTTCCTGCCCTGAACACTGATGGTTTGATCTTGTATGGCACTGCATTATTCGTCTCCTTATACCTTCTTGATGTGAGGTCAGGATAATCTCTTGCTCTAATTACCAACCTGTCGTCTGAGATTAGACTCCAACTCCTATCTGTGAGAAGAGACATAAAGGATTAGAACTGGCTGAAAGAGAGGAGAAAGGAAGAGATGGAGATGGAGTGCTCGGGAGCGGATTAGAGGTTACAGCTTTATAATCTCTTCTGTCCCCAACCAAAAAAATTAAGGCATGAAGGAATGGAAACAGCAAGGCAAAGAGCTTTTTATGTCACTGGGTCTTTCCTCCAGATGCTAATAGCAGCTTTCTGCCTTCCTGCTGTCCCTGCTGAGCGCAACAGGGGGAAGGAGTGGGCCCAAATAGGTTTCAAGCTTTCTGGCATGTTTGTGAAGGGTTCTTTTTTTCAGTGCAGTGCCTGGTGTGAGAGCTGGCAATGGTCCTTGCTGGGGAACGGACTTTGGCATCATTTTGTCCTTGTGCACACAGTTAAATGGCTGGGGGAGAGTGTTGCAGGGAAAGCTGGAAGGCAAAGAGGCTGTTTGAAATGGCAGGTGGTGCCACAAACAGGTATTTCTCTTTAAAGAACGTTTGAAAACAGACTGCTGGGATCTGTGAGAGATCCTGTAATCTCCAGATGAAAGGACAAATGCCCTTTCTCTAAAGAGCTGCTCAGCTTTGATATTGCTGATGTGACTAAGCCTGCTGCTGGTGGGCTGGAAGAGCCAAAGGCGACTGTCACTGTGGCTTTGCTGTTTTGAAAATTGGCCACTCTGTCACCTCCTACCAAACCCCCAAGCACCATCATCTCCTTCACAGCACACATGAAGTTTAAAGGAAAGGCGTCAGAAAGACCTTCCACCTCTGCAAAGGGGGGTGTAGAAAGGAACAAGCACTTTAATTTCGGGAAAAACAGAAGTCAGGAGCCTGCAGAGCTGTTCCCAGCCTGGTCATTCTTACTGGCATTGAGTCAGCTGGTGTAACTGCACACAACCTTGCTTTCCTCTGTTGCACAACAGCCCTTTGAACCACTTCATCCTGAGCWGCACAGGGGCGAGCTTATGCCAACAACCATTCCTTGGGTTGTGCAAAGCACTTGGCTCGTACAGCTATGCCAGCCAAGAGTTCACGTGGCACAAAACAGACACAGCTGTTGGAAGAGAGATGCAGCTCCAAGAAATCTTGCCCCACAGGACAAGTTTTGTTGGGTTTGAACGCAACCAGAAGATGAAATACGCTTTTGTAAGAAGRAAGGAGTCTTTAAGAGAAACCTGCATTACTTGGATATATCATTTTTCCTCATTCAGATTTTCAGCTGATGTTAATGGAGACTTTGAGTTAAAAAGCTGTTCCTGTCTGTAGATATCCCAGTGACAGTCAGAGCAAAATGCGATTCATGTGAGGAAACTGGTACAGCAGCTTTGCTTCCCTGGGGTAAAAGCAAAGCAGAGAAACCGAAACCTGGCCTCACCCCGTCTGAATTGACCTGGTGCCTTTTGCATGGCTGAAGATCAGATGTTTAATGGGTTGAGTCCTTGAGTGACTGCATGGGGACTCATTTAAGACTGGGCTTCATTGCTGGAGCAGTTAAGTGCCACTTTTGTGGAAAATGTCTYGTCTCATAAGGAAACAGAACAGATGAGAAGATGTCTGGGGCAGGGCATCTCTTGGGCTGTGGAGGAATGAATGACAGAAAAGTCCTGCTATGCCTGTGACGACAATATGCTGGGAAGAAAATAGCTTCTGAGTCGACAAAAGAAGCCAGGTTTTCTCTARGAACAGAGAGACAGCTTAATGGGACATTCACCACATGAAATCTGATCAATGTTAAAACATGAGTTAAAATTAGTTTCAGGAATGGTTCCTGCCCCTGGGGCTTGCTGTCAGATGTTGTGGTTTCACAGTCTCATTTTCCTAGTTTATTAAAATGTTTAGCTGCTTGGGAAAATGAGAAACAATCTCATGTGAAACTTTTCAGGGGGCTCTCCTTTTTTATTCTCTTTCTCTTGATGTAGCAAAAGATTTTGGAAATGTTCTGCTGGGTCTATTAAATTTGTATTTTCTTTGGGTTTTKTTTTTATATCTACCTTTCTCTAGCTCACACTTCATTTTCTCATTGCAGGGAGAAAAAAAAAACAAAAACCAAACCAACCCTCTCCCAAGAATGCAAAGGAATGGAGATATGGTCTTTATATTTTACTGGGAAAAATGGGGTCAGAGTCAAGGGTGTAGGCATGACCCTGCTGTTGTACAACATTAAGTGTAGTTCAAGGTTTCAAGTAGAGACACCTCTGCCTGCCCAACACCATAGCAACCAATGCTAATAATGATGTTTAAACTGTACACTGAGAATTCAGAAAGAGGAGAAAGAGGGGAAAAAAAMCGCAGTTACAGTATTTGAAATGTAAAATATTAAGTAAGGCTTTCATGTTAACAATATCTTTTCTTCACTTTCCCCTTAGCGTGAAGAATTTTTGTAAGAAAAACCTATTTGATAGTGCAAAAAAAATGCTAATAACTACCCTTTCTTTAGGGGAAAGAGAAGTTAGTTGAAATAGGTGGGAAACTGCAGTTGTTGCTAAAGACTTGAAGGGGAGAGAGAAGAATAGCAACACTAGACAATGGTTCTGTCTCTGGTGCCAACTCCTCTTAACAGCTCTGCTGCCGAAGAAAAGCAGATTCCTGAGCCACTGTGGGATTTACCCAAATTKTACCCAGCTTGCAGCCTTCAGCTCTCTCCCCAGGCTTCTTGCTAAAGAAGCAGCCTTCAAAAGACAAGCAGTTTATTAGACAGAAGTCAAAAGATGAGAAATAAGAACAGGGAGAAAGGAGATTGGAAGGAAAGAAACCACCAATTGAGGCCTTGGAGGAGCATGGGAATTTCAGCAGTGTGTTGAAAGTGCTGTTTGGGAGCTGCCCAGAAAGAGTGGGAAAGGGGGTATTGCCTGCCCCCCCCAGGTCTGGATGGTGTTTTTTTTTTTGTGATCAGGGCAACTGCAGCTCCCCAGTGCCACCGAGGATGCCAGCCTGTGAGTCATAGTTCACCTTGGAAGAGGTGAGATCAGTTTGGTTGGCCCTGAACCTGTTCTTTTTTTTGGTAACACTCCAGATAAGCCAATGTTTTTCATCAATGTTGCAGTCACTTCCTTGCAGCAGTTTTAGCTTCTTAATTTTGGTACTTATTCTGCCCTTGCTTGCAATGCAGGCTTTTCTGRCAGTCCAGAGTGGGGTGAGCCGTTCTTAATTAACTTTTCAGTCCCCGAAAAACCTTGACAGCTAGCTCTACACAATTCTGGGGTGGCTGCAAAGCCAAAGGAGGGTGGGTGACTCCTCCATTCAGTGAATGCGTGGTCACAGGGAGGCGTGGGCTGTCCCTGCGTTCTTCCTTGAGGAGCCTGCTGGCAATTGGTGCCAGAGATGGAATCTCAGACTGACTGGAACTTTCTCCTGTGCCAAATAGTGCTCATCATGTGGTTCCACTAGAGAGAATGCAAGTGCTGCCAYTGACATAAGCAAGGCCAGGAAGAAGAGCGACATCATAAATGTTCAGGTATCTGTGCCTGTTCTCATCAGCTGATGCAGAAGTTTTTCCTGTAGACTTYCTGCCTAAATACCTGGGAGGTTAAAGGAGTGCAGATCTGAGCTGTTGTTGCTCAGAGGGCATTGCCTCTTTAAAGCTGTTCCTTGACAGCTCCTTGAGATTTTTTTCACTTCCTCTTTGATCCAGCTGGGGACTTATCTCTCTCCCTGTTTGAACTGTAAGTGATTAATTACGGACCCCAAGAATGGGCTCCTTGCCTATCTCTTGTGTTTAAATTGCCTTCCAGGATTTTGCAAGGCTAAGGAGCCTCTTCCGATTTTACAGCTGGCTGTGCCTCGGTTAAGCCTCTCTTGGTTTTGTTGGGAGCTGCATCTGATCCATAGTGAACTTTAAGAACAAATTAAACAGGATTTGCTGGCCCTGACTCTTCTGCCACTCCTTGAAAACAAGACAGTGTTGATTTTAGCAGTGTAGGAAAAAGAAATGCAATGAAAGAAGGCATTAGGATGGGGAGAGATGCTGCTATTCTGAAACCCTGCTTTCCCCATTCCACCCCCAGAAGTGGGGCACAAAGAGAACATACAGCTGGTGCCTTTGGCCATGCTCTATCAGATGGAGGATATGCCATGAAATATCCAGCAATTGCACTGGCAGAGAATCCAGCAGCCCTGGTTCTGAGCCAGGCTTGTACTGTGTGCTGGACAGGGTGCCTACTCTGAATTACTTAAAAGCAGAGACAGGGTAGGGAAAGTGGAGGGCTTGCATGATCAATGAGACAGTGTTGTCTTGTTTAAGCAGGGAGAAGAAGATGGTCTTTGGGCCAGGGAGGGGCAGAGTTCAGGAGCAGAGTTTCCACCCAGAAATACCATGAAGGTCTGAAAGATGTTTGGTATAAGTGCATGTGGAGGGAGAAGTGAGGGATGAAGCAAAGGGTTTGGAACAAAATCTACATCCTCTTCATGGCTGTGCTGGCAAATAATGAGTGCTGGCCTGATGACCAGTACCTTGGGGCTTAGGGGTTAAAAAAAAAAGGGGAAGCTGTAAAGAAAAAAGCGAGGACTGTCTTCCCCTCCTTACACACTCATTGCTGGTTGGTGGCTTCTCACTCATGGCTTCCCCAGTAGCACAGGAGGAGATGTGGGGCTGGCAAAGAGCATCAGTCTCTGCTCTGTGCTGTCCTCTGCCTCTGCCTGAGCATGCCCCACCAACCCAGCYTTCATGAACACTCAGAGAAGCAGCAGGCTGGGGCAATGAGCAGGATTGATGTGCTGGCAAGAGTCTGCCCCTTCCACACTGCCCCACCTTTCTCACATCAGCATCAGCTTTGGCTGGACTGAGGCTGACTGCAGAAGCTGGCTGAGCTCTCTCTGYTTGCCATGGCGATTTTCTGCAGAGGAGAAGCTCCTCTCTGGGCTCTCTGACAGGGYTCTTGTGGGGTGCAGAAGGGTCTTGGTGCAGCTGGTAGGGAGAGCGGGCCCCCCCTTACCCTCGCCTTTTTCCCTGGCMTTCAGCTGTATTGGACAGTGGCTGTTTTTAGCAAAAGTCGCAGATTCAACAGCTGAGCTGATTTTCCAAAGGGACATATAAAACAAACAGCCTGCCATCTGCTCTATTGTCCTGGAATAGCGGCTTGGAGAGTGGGGGAGAGGAAAGGAGGAGAGTGAGATGAAGGAGAAAGGGACTGGGGGAAAGAGGGTGGGAAAGAGTGGGAGCAGAAGAGAGGAAAAGGCAGAAAGAGGAATCAGGGATGGGAGGCTGAAGGTGAAGGTGGAGGCTGAGGAAGAGAAAGAAAGAAGGACATAAACAAAAAGGGGAGCTGTGTGGAAGGGGATTTGTTGAGGGGAGAGGACCAGAGACAGGCTTAGGGGCAAACAGGGTTTTGTTGGAGTCACCCTGGCTGGGTTCCTATCAGCCCYGTGAGACACTGGTGCAGGCACTGAGAGCACCCCTGTCTTTGCTGAGCCAGAGTCTGACTGCAAAAGAAACAAACTGGACTTGGTGGCCTGGATAATCACTCCCTTCCACCCACTCAGCCCTGCCTGCTGCACACGCCCACCTCTGCACTGACTTTTATTGAGTGCCGCAGGGCAGGGATTGAACTCCACGTTTGGCAGCAGAGTAAATAACAGCAACACTGGTCTCTCTGGCTCGGGGGGAGGAGGGCTGGTTTTAATCAAAGGTAAATAACAGTCAGTATTGTCTGACCCTTAATCCAATTTCCCAGAACTGGAGAATAATGTTCCAACTTAAACATGTGGCACTGGCCCTCCGGAGAGGGGTGGCTACTCAGCCAGTGGGCTGCTGGACAGCCGAGGAGAGCTGTTCTGTGCCCAGCCACTAGACACATGTCTAGCCCGGAGCTAGATGCATCCAGGAGYTGGGGGGGATGCCACAAGGCAGGCAATTTATCCTGGCTGATCTGCGACTGTGCTGTTCTGTTCTGATTCTTCCTGGTTTATTTTCCTGGTTTCAGTCATCCCAAAAGATGGGGCTGGCTTGCTGACAGGCAGCACCTCATGTAACATGGGCCCAGTAGATTAAAAGCTTTCTGATTTGCTCAGTTGACTGGAGAGTTGGGACCCAACTGGTGCCCTACCTCTGCATCCCTGGAAGTCATTTTGCCTCTTACAGTGACCTGGAGAAAGGTGTTTATGGAGTCATGCTTTTATGTGCTCAGGGCATGAATCATGTTCATGCTGTGTCAAGTTCCTGCTACATGTTAAGCAGATACAAAATTTCAGTGTTGGAAAGAAGGCTTTCTGTTCATTAGTCTGGTGCACGAGGGTCTGTGTGAGAAAAAGTGCCTTGGTCACACATTAGAATCGCAGAGAGTTAGTGAGGTGGTGTCACTGAGCTATMAGGAGATTATCTAATCCTGCTGCAGGGCCGGCCACCTGATACCCCTTCCGTGAGATGTTT